AGGACTGGCGTTTTAGGACCTTTCGCGGCGGCGGCAAATTACCCTTGAAGAGGTCGTAACAGACAGAAGACTGAAACTGAACTTTTGCATGAGCCCGTCATAATATCATGCCGCAACATTGAGAACTTGTCGTTTCGTGATGAAGGAGCAAAAAAGTTCCGGAGAGCAAAAGGAGCTTGATCTCGGTAAAAGCTTTATAATGGGCAAGACATCTCGGAAGGCACTGCGCAATCCATCGCGAATAATGAGTTCTGGCATACCTTGGAGGGTCCGCCCATCGAGTCACTTGCGCCGCGAACGGCTGCATTAGATTTGCTTCGAAATGTCGAAAGAAGATTACGCATACTGTTCAGGATGTACTTGCCTTATAAAAACGCATCGTGCTTGCAACTGAATTGTTTTGTTGCACCGTCCGCGCATTCTATCTGCAATCAATATGCTAGGTCCTATTCCCTTTCGTCGATTCCCACTGTCCCAGATTGAATTTTGCTGAATAAAGGCAATGAAGCAAATTATTTGAGAACGAATCGTGGTAATTGGCACATCATTTACCACTGTTTGAAATTCCAGATTCTCCAGCTTACATTTCTGAGAAGTCATATCGATCCATAAGGAGGTGGCTTACGACATCACTCCGCCCGTATGCATGAATAAAGTTTGATCTAAAACCTACATTTAACTTTGAAATCGCCATTACAAATATGAGACCAATGCGCGGAAAGAGTAAGCAATGAAGAATTGATGAACTTGAATATCCACTGAAGCAATAGTAGACAAAGAAGCGCAGCATTCCACTTGTGTATGGAATGGAGCGATCTCAAAGTGTTTGATTGACTTTAGGCATACTGCGAGTGCAAAGAAGGTTATGGTGGAGCTGTTTGTGAGATTGCTAAATCAAAGTTGTCATTTGCTGAGAATGAGGTAAGTTTGGAATTTACTTTATTCATATGGAATTTACTTTATTCATACTACCGTTCAGTAGAATCCCGTAAATCGTAAATGAACTTGAGTGCAGCGGAAAAGATTCCAAGAGATTTAAAAACCCTGGATTTTTGCCGAGTAGGACGAAGTAATTTGAAGAGATTCTAGACGCATTTGCTGAATACACTGAGAATATTGAAACCCAGAGCTTATTCACAAAAAAATTGTCACATAAAGTATTATTTGCTGGAAAACACTTTATATTCTTGCTATGAATAGGGCTGCTTAAGAGCTTGAAAAAAGCGGTAACTCTACTTTTTGTTTCGCTGTTACAGAAAGTCATTATCTAATTGTTTGAATATCCTTTTCTCACAATGTTACAGTTATCAGAGTCTACTGATTTGAAGGCAGCGTCCAGGCAGATTCTCGACTTCTATATTTTTATGTTATCCAGGCCTTTCCATAGCGCTGATTCCGAATATGGAACTCAAAAAGCGTGAATTTCTCAAAAAACCACCTTTTGGGGCTATTTTGGGAAAACCCAGACGAGTGCTTCCGATATTATCCTTGTCGAAAGCAAGTATTAACAGGTAAACGCTGTAAGTTCGACTGTGTTGGTCATGTGAAAACACGTCAAGGCTGAGGAGATTTCGTTCATAAGGGGTTGGCCGTCCGAGGAATGTGGGCGTAGTCGTCGAGCTCGGATCTGCCTGGACGCTGCCTTTAAGATCTGCCTTCATTATCTTCCAAGCGCCTCTGGAGCTAGTTACGAGTGTTTTTTGTATTAAAAGACGAGCTGGCAAACCCGCTCCGCCCGGTCCTGTTAATAATGTATTCGAATCAGCATGTTCACTTACCCCCTCCCCACCCTGCACACCCTGCGCACCATGCACATCCTGCACATCCTGTCCACCCTGCCCAGCCTGCACACCCTGCACACCCTGCACATGCACAACCTGCACAACCTGCACAACCTGTACACCCTGCACAACCTGCACACCTGCACACCTACACAACCTGCACACCCTGCACGACCTGCACAACCTACACAACCTGCACACCCTGCACAACCTGCACAACCTGCATAACCTGCACAACCTGCACACCCTCACACCCTGCACAACCTGCACCACATATTTTCTGCTTTATATATAGAGAGATTGAATGCGCAACTGATTGAATTGTCGAAACATGTTTAGTTGATTCAGTGTTAAACGTTAAAACAATTCTCAATAGATATTACATTCTTAATACGCTCATGTTGATCACCCATCCAATCTAGAAAGACCGTAACAATCGTTTTTACTTGAATGCGTTTTTTCCTCTAAAAAACACTCATCACCGCGTTCAAGGGCGCTTGCTGATAGCGAGGATAGATTCGGAAGCAGAGTTCAGTGTTTTTGAAGTGCTTTTGAAAGGGAATAGGACTCATTTGGAAAGGTCACTTTGATCAAAGAAGCCCCAATCATAAGCTAAATCCAGCACTACAGAATATTATCCAATGTCCACAAAAGACTTTGTGGAGACTGATATAGGCGACCAAAAAAAAATAGGTCGGCACATAAGCTCGGACCTCCTACATTATGCCCACAGACAAATCCTCAGAGACAAATTTGTCTATGGACATAAGGTAGGAGGTTAGGCAGTAGGCTACAAGTGTATGCAAACAGTTTGAATTCCGTTAGTGAAGAGGAGAAATTTAGCACTTTTCGAAAGCTGGCTGAGTTCAAAATTTCAAGGGTCCGAAAAATAAAATTAAAGTCGTTCTCAGTGTGAATCAGAGCATCATACCAAGACTGTACAGGTATTAGAGGTTCCTCTATAACAATCTGAGTACAGTTTCAGATTGATGTGTTCAATTCAGGCTAAAAAGAACTTTATTTTTGGTATTTCGACTCTTGAAGTTTTGATTTTGAACAACTTTCAAAAGTGTATAGATTTTTTCCACTTCAGTTCCAGAAACTGAAGTGTTTGCGCACATTTGTAGACTACCATCTTCCAATTATGCCCGAAAATGAATGCGTCGCGGGCAAAAAGAAAGAAGTCACAAAATTGGTTGCAAAATTTATGTGCCAAACCTAATATTTGCATAGTACAAAACATCCTGTAATAGCTAGGCTGGCACGGCAACCTTATTTTGTGGGACTAGCAAATGCGTGCTGCAAGTAGGCTTCCTGACTTTTCGTGATTCTCTCAAACTGAAATTCGAGGGTTTACTCCCGTCTTGTCACCTTTAATTGTCAAATCTTCCTGAACTAATTTAGTTTGTCTGTCTGCGCTTCCGTCAAAACATAGCATGAACCTTCTTCTAAACAGTTTCATTCTGAAGCCTGTACAATGCGTTAGAGCATGGACAGTCTCTACGAGGGTAGCGCCACTTTACAGTGAAGAGCAGTGGAGAGCTTCAAAGGCGAAGTTCATCCAAATCGTTTCCTTTTTGCCAATCTTGGCCTTTCGTAGAATCAATTGAGTGTGAAATGTAGAATAGCTAGAAACGTCATGAGCAGGGCCCGGCACAGATCGTCTGGAAGCAGCCTGGACTTCGTTTTTGGAGCAAAAAGCAAAGGAGATATCGTTTTTGACGAGTAGGGGCCGAGCACCAAGAATAAGCGCCATTTAGTCGAACAAAGCTTTTCGGGCAGGTTATACACGATTGACACGCTCTATCGTGTATGGCGAAAAGTGCGCGCGATTTGAAAGCAAGGCTAAAACAAACAAATTGCTTGTTTACAGCGGAAACACAAGCTTTTAACGCCAAATTTATACCACATAAGTAAAATATTATTTGAGGAAGACCTATGTAAAAAGTTTTGAAAACTTATGTGAAGTAATACCTTTTCCAAAATTAAATCGTCTCCAGACGGCCACCAGACGATCTGAGATCGTCTGGAGCATATATTTCGGTCACTTCACATAAGTTCCGGTTTTTTTCAGCATGTACGGATTCCCTAATCTAAAATCTATCTTACAGCATAAAAACATTTTCATATAGTTGCCTTTTTATTGTTTTTTGACTTGTTTTCTTCATAAACTGCTTTGTTAGATATCGCGCTCTGATGCCAAATTCTGGCGCATCCGCAAAACAACTCCATTTTGTATTTTCACTCTTATTTCAGGGTTTTCTTAACAAACTAGTGACTCTTTCCTGTATTCATCTTCCCCCAACTCGATAGGTTTCTTACAAGGGTCAAGGGGGACCTCGTAAAATTTTCGAAGGTTAGGGGGAACTTCGTTTTCAGAAGCTCTAGAAATCGACTCGTGCCGGGCCCTGGTCATGAGCCCCCTCCCCTTGTTCCTAAAAATGTTATTTTGGCAAGCGTGATTACTTTGGCTGGCCACGCACGTGTATCAGGAAATCGGTCGTATGGAGCGGGACACTACATAAAGTATGTATTGCTGCGTAAAAATGACTCTTTCGTCGATCCGTTGACCGCACGGACTGCTCAAACGATGCGAACCACGCGCGGCGAGGCTGAACCTTGCGAGAGCACGACTTGTACGACAGCAAATTTGAAGTGGTGCAAGCGTTTTAACTCGGGGCGCGTGCTCGGCAGTGATGTCCAGTGTATGGTCAACGTATCGACTATACTTACCTGGCACAATGCGTCAGGGTAATACTGTGGCGTGATGGAACTCAAGAGGCCGACGAGGTTGGGATAAGCAAATTCACAGTTAGCAGTATGTGAATCATAATTTACATGAACATCTCAGTTAAGAAAATAGCAGAGTGACAGAAAGGAGGAAGGTGAAAATGTGAATTATGAAGTCACTCATATCATGATGTATGGTATTCCAGAGTTCCATAATAAATTCAGTTAGAGAAGGTGCAACGGCGTTAACATTCAGTGAATTTATAACGCTCATCCTGAAGGGAGCAATGAAACTATATTTTCCAAAGTCCGGAAGGGTAAGCTGTGTCGGGATGCAAACCGCTAGCAAATGTGGGTGTCACACTTCCACTCAAGGACACGCAAGTGTACTACCAAAACCTTCGCTCCTTCGTTCTTTGCAATGCTGGACTGATAGTGTTGCTCTTCCATCACCCAGCTTTGTTCGACTTGTCCCGATTTCACTGCAGCATGTGGTCTTACATAATCACAACAATGTACTCATTAGGTAAAGTTGTCCGAAAATGCTTGCACTTCATATCAATTCTATACCACACACCATCTGTTTAGGAATCGGTTTTCTTGCAATGGAAGCTTTGAATGTATGGAAAGTGACACGTCTGCAGCAAATAAACATCTGGAGTAATCCTATGAAGCGTAGTGCTAAGATTCCGAGATTATCGGTAAACAAAGGATAAACGGAAATCAAATACTATCTTGTGTGTTTTCAGGGACAAACTTTGCTTATAGGCGTCCTCTTTGGCGGATCTGTTGTAGTATATGCTTTTGCTCAGTACTATAAGGTCTGATGTGATTACATTATCATATGGAAATGTTTTAAGCAAAAAAGGGCATTCACAGAGCGCCACACAATGGAGCTGTCTTGGTCATTTCACGAAGGAAACCTCAAACTTATGGCTGCCTGTCGTCCTTGTCAATACCTGTGCCGCACTCGCAGCCTCTTCTTTCTCATACTTCAGCCTTTTCACGATGAAGAACATCCCTCAATATCGTCAGAAGATGGACCGCTTCCTTTCTGAGGAAGACTACGTGGTGAAATGGAGCGTAGAAAAGGTGCAAGATGCACTCAAAGACCGAAGCAGAAAGTCCGTGTTTTAGTGTTATCGTAACGCTGTATTCTTATTCTTTCTACCTTGGCTGCTGCTTGCAAGTTGGATTACTTTGGCAATTTCTTCTGATTGGGTAACAAATAATACTTTGAACATGTGAGTTGTTTTCATGGGACCGTTTTAGTTTACTTCGTATGATCAAAATAATGCTGATTGTTACAGTCTGACTGTAGTAATCTCGTTCGCTTACAGTGCTGTTAATATAATGCAATCGCTCATTACGAGCCCTTCGGTAAGAAATGTTGCATAAAACTTCAATGTCTTCACCGATCTCTATTTGAGATGTACAGCCTTCTTGTCTCATATGCCATGATGATACTGCCCAACGCTTGGTCGCCGATGCAAGATCCGGTGATGATGTATAAACGATCGGAAGTCTTAAAACAACGAAAAATGCCTAAAGAAAGCAGAAAGTCGCCGGACGTGCCGCGATTACCGCAAGAAATGAGTGCGCACACCTGGACAACTGGTTATGCGGTCAGATTATTACTTGTGGGGTCGTGGTTGCTTTTTACTTTTGTGTTGTCCCAAAAATGTACACACTGTTTGACAATTCTTTTGCTTTGATATCTTTTGCCAATTTCAGGCCCCTTCTGTAGAGCCGCTATGTTCATACTCTTCATACCGTAAGGGTCAGAACAGGTCCAGCACAGCGCGCAATTCGAGCGCTATGCTAAAACTGTTCCGGAACTTACGGATCAGTATGAACCCTGCCTGACTTTAACTTAAACTAAACGTATGAAGCAAATCTCAGATCTCTCTTTCTCACTGTAGAATTTACAAACTTTGGAGAGGAGTTTAAGCCATTGAAAGTCGCAATTTGTCCCAGAAAGTAGACCAAACAAGCCAAGTCGCTGATTTTACATATGAAGTATGCAAATTACAGTCATGCTTCTCCAGGTTTTCCGACTGATCGGTGACAATTTTACCAATCTTTTTCAAAATCTGCTTGAACCGCTAAAAAGCTCAGAAAACTTGTAAAATTGTGTAATGAAAAAATCATTATGCGTAAAGAACCTGCTTAACGATTTTCAAGTATTCTAGTTGAGTTACTCTATCGATCGGGCCTTATTCACGATTGCGCTGAATACTAAAAACTTCCTATCGTAAACTTTTGGAAACGAAGAGCAACCAGTAATTCGCTCCTAACAAGGGAAGGATACCAACTTAATCGGTGATCGAAGATGATATGTATATTGATAGACGCGCCTTTGAACGCTGATTCCAAATCTGCTTTCCTTTTTTGTGGAATAAGTTTCCGAAGAAGTTGTGGGCGTTGTCAAGGTTTAGGTGGCCTAAAATTGGCGAAAACAAAACACCGGAAAGTGGAAAATCATTTTTGTATCGAGTATATTGTTTGCAAGGAAGGAACAAAGTAGGTGGAAATCGCACGGGTGTTGTTTTAAAGCTTCTAGCTGATTTTAAGCAACTCTTGGCAAATCTGGACATTCAAACGTTCATAACTTCTTTCGGAAACTTATTCCGCAAAAAAGGAAAGCAGATTTAGAATCAGCGTTCAAAGGCGCATCTAATGATGTCATCTTCAATTGCCAGCTAATGTTGGTATTCTTCCCTTGTAAGTGTCTAAGTTGAAGCACGTTCTCGTAATGATTTCTGAAGGTTAAAGGTCCATTTGTGGAAAAGGTCCACGAATCAGTGGATTTCGGTATGGGTTCGCAAACCCACTGCACTTGTGGGTACCGAATAAGAGGCTCTTCTGGGTTCCGGAACCTAGTGGGTAGGCTGCTCAATCCTTTGAGTTCCAAAACCTATATGTTTCATGTGCACCAATTTCGTGGACTCTAGCCGTTAAGCGCATTGATGATTACAGCTACCAAAACTGAATCCTGCAATACCAAAACTGAATCCTGCAAATCCTCGTAGTGATCGACATATGAAGTAGACACTCTTCCGCTCATGCCTCTCTCCAAGATTCCCAGCACTTGTTTTTTTTTCCTGAGAACCACGTTTTTTAGAGATGCTAATTATTGCTAAGTTCTCTGGAAGCTCGTGTAACATCTTCTTCGCCTTTCTTGGTTTGAAGTTATGGGAAAACTGTTGGAGCAAAAACGATTAACAACATCCAGAAGTAATACTTGGATAACATTCCATATATGTTCGAGATTCTTAGCATAACAGGCGTTCTACTTTTACTGAAGGTTTATCATGAATTAAAGAATAACCGAGTTTTGGAAATTTCTATTTTTGAGTTCTTCTGTGGCCCTGGTAATGTCTAGTACTAACGTTTGCATTCCCACTTATGTTAAGTAAAACGCACTGTGGCATGCCTTCGTACATAATCAAATAACAAATGAACGAGTGTAGCCGATAGAGTGAGTATGACTCGAAAAAACGTCATCTTTTACCCACTTGATTACAAAAAAGAAGATCAGGTCTTTAGGGTTACCTCCCACTGCTTGTAAGAGAACGTTTGAACACATTATGGACGCAAAAGTACCTGGAGGTCAAAGCGAAAAAGAAGTGCAGAAAAGTGGAAGCTCTCTATGTAGGTTCAGAAAGGAACGTACCGTTTGATTCAACTGGCTTGGCTTCGGGAAGGCGGGGCTTCGTGACCTAATTAATGCACAATGATACTTCTACAACCACCGCGTCTTACCGCAAATTAGGCATAAAATCAATTGCATCGCTTACTTTACAGAAAATCACTTACTTTACGCCTAAATCGCCCAAATGTGGCGTCATGGTAAGAAATCTTTTTCTCCTGTGGTCTGTGATATTGCTGGGAGGGGACTGCTGTTTTCTGTCTTCTTGGTTTATGAAATGTAAACAGACGTCCCAGCGCTCGTAAACTGAACTTTGCGCAGTTTTCTAGTCGCTCGGAGAGGTTTTGGAGTGATTTCGGAGAGGTCTCGGACAGATCCTTTGCTTTTTGACATACAATTGGTCGCATTGTAGCTAGTGGTTCTTTGCATAGTGAAAGCAATGTGAGCATTGGGCTGTGCAGAAAGTGCTGGTGTTTCTCCAAGATCCACGGCATGTTTGCTCTAAATGCTTTTGCTTCTGTCAATTCATTCGAAGGAAAAAGACTTTCTAAAGTGTTCTATCAGCCGCTTCGATAGACTGAAAGACAGTAACACAATCGTTTGTTTCTGGCATTTGTTCATACCTCAGCTGTATTAAGGAGCGAATGCACTTCAGATAAGTAAAACAAACCATCAATTTATAAGCGCACATTTGTGCTTTTCAAGACTGAAGTCCTTGGTAGTGGTTTCGCGTAAACGACTTAGAGAAAAAGAGAAAGGAATTTCTTTATCAGAAACCATCTTTGTGCATGCAACAAAAGACGATGGGTCTGCCTCGTAGAAGGAGAATGAACACAAAAGAAACAAGATTCCTCACCATGACGCCACTATTGGGAGTTTGTGGTAACATACTTCCGTATAGTACGCAATGCAACTAATTTTGCCTTGAACTACGGTAAGACGCGGTGGCTATAGAAATAATATTGTAATTAATGCTAGGTAATTCAGAGAGTACTCGCGTCGAGAGACGCAGGTGCGTCGGGGGCGCGAGCTCCTTGATTAGGCCACAAAGCCTCGCCTTTTAGAAGCCAAGCCAGTTGAATCAAAGGTTATGGATTGGTCATACGAGTGGTGCAATTTTTGTTATGGATTTTTCATCTGCGTCATTTATCACTTGTATATCCGATTTTAACAGGCTGTCTACATAGATGAGTCAGAAAGTGGGCAAAACAACTTACGTTCCATAGTTGTTAGCGGCCAGATCAGGTGACTCTCATGCTAGTTATCAATATTATTTGAAGTTTCTATGAGTTCTCGTCTTGAAACCTCGGCATCTTTGACTGTAAGTAAAGGATACCCGTCGACGAGCGCCCCGTTTCGTGCATTTACACCACCGCAGGCGTGCCTTTTGAAGCCTTTCCAGCTTGACAGTACGCTGCAGCGCGCGGGGACTTGATAGCTCGTGGCATCCCTGTCCTTTAACCTCTTTTATTAATTTGACGATCTTACATCGTTTTTTCCTTATTTTTCATTTCAGGCAATCAGCCGCTCTAGTGTCTATGTGGGGTCATCGCCGCGAGCAAAGTAGAGACCCTCTTTGTAGTTGCGATGGTGGATATCATGGCTATAACTGGGATTGCATGTTTTCAATGTTTTGTAACGATTTCTTCATATATTAGATTTGACATGTTCCCTGGAACAGACCACTGAAGTGATTACTATAGCACTCCTACATCACGGACACCATGTAGGAGTGCTGAAATAAACATTAGAGTGGCCTTATCTAAGGAAAATCCATGATAGCCACTACTGCTTATGAACAAAGCACACACTTTCACCTAATTTTGCCCGAAACGATGGTTCACGATTGTGTAAAAGAATGTTTGGCGGGCAAAAAGGAAGAGAAATAGAAGAAATGTGCCTAAACGAATTTTTTCCTTGCCTTTCAGTGTTTTTCAAAAAAGAACGAGGGATATTTGAACATCGAGAGAACCTAAGAGAAAGGTGAAACAAATGACTGACTGAAATACGAAAACGAAGAAGAAGAAAACGATATAAAATACTTAAATCAACGGTAAAGGTTATAGGTCAGTGTTGCTGCGAGCTATGAAGTCCCGGCACGCTGCAGCGTACTGTGAGCTGGAAAGGCTCCAAATAGGCACGCCCACCGTGGTTTAAATGCACGAGTCGGGGCAGTCGTCGATGAATATCCTTTAGATGTTCTATTACTTATGACGCACAGGTAGATGTGGTAAAAATTTATTGATCTAACGTTTCTAACACCCGTCTTCGTCGGAGATTGAAAAGGATTGTAGTTTAGGTATGTGTTGCTATTGCGCCTCCAAGCATCTCTTCTGAGTCTGCTTCGCTTGAAGTAATCTCACAAGGGAATGGTCAGAAGTCGAAGTGGCCAATCCATACAATCTGCATACCATTCGATGCAGCATAAAATGCTGATTTCAAATCTGTCTTCCGTATCTGCAGAGCGCCTTTGTAAGCGAAGTTATGATCAGCTTTAGCGCGAAAAAATCGTACACAAAAATTGCGAGATAGGCACATTATTGCCCTTTTCGCTCACCTTTAGGTACTGACCATATGAAGTAACCTAGTTGCATGTTTTGATCTTGCACTGAGCCGGGTATGGCTCTGTACGGCGGAGTTTGCCCTTTACGCACATAATTTCTTAGCAAAATAATGGCCTTTAACGGGTCATAATTTCGTCCACAAAAGCGCTCTGCAGATACGGAAGACAGATTTAAAGTCAGCGTTTTATGCTGCATCTAATGGTATTCAGCTTGTATGGATTGGCCACTTCGATTTCTGACCATTCCCTTGTCAGATGCAACGTACTGAGCACATCGAACGATGACAAACGAACCCCCAACAGGGCAGTTTGGCCCAACCCACATTGTAGAATCAGTAGTTCGCACTAGAACTAGTGTGACGGACATCACTGAATGGTATCGAAATTCCTTCTTTTTACAGTGTGCGGTGTCGAGCTCACAATGCTAGCAAGGTAGTAGATCACTTCTTCGTCAGACATTCAGTTCTGTTGTTCATAGTCAGACTGCGAGAGCATAGGTGCGATAAGGTGAGAATGACCTCTCCAGGGTGAAGAAGGTCACAATGTCGCAGCCTCTCCAGGGTGAAGAGTGTTTCACTTGATCGAGAAATTTTGAAAATGTCGACTGAGGGGAGGGGGGGGGGACAGGGGAGTGATGGTGTTTTCTCATCATTTTCCCTAATCAACGTCTTATCATTTTTGATTCTCTGCCATCATTTGTTGACTTTTCTCTTAAATATGAAGATTAAAGTAGGATTGGAACCACCCTGTCTGTTTTCGAAAATGCCATGTAGTAGAAGATGTGTTTGCGAGAACATCTGTTTCGGGAAAGAGGTAGACAATTTTGAGCATTTACGAATTTGTGAAAGAAAAAAGTAGAGTCGAGCCGAGTAGATTCATATTTTCTGTAAATGAATAGCAACGTTAGCAAGAAAAATGTTTTAAGGAACCAGCTTTTTTCTCTCTTCTAGAAAATATATAGTACGTCTGAGATCCGTTCAAAAAAGTGCCTGGTGTGGGTAGTGATTTTTCGAGCTTTTCAAGTTTTTAACATAAAAAAATTCATAACTTTTGTAGATGAATATATTTACGCCGAGATAGGCACCATCGGAACCATCTCGTCCTCCGCTTTCAGAAAATATATACTTTGCCTGGGGTCCACTGAAAATAGCGCCGGGTGAAAGGTGGGCGAGACTCTTATAATGGGAGTACTCAAGTGAGGCTTTTTTACCATTGTAAAAGAACGTCTACTTAGCGCTCCCAGCGCTATAAAAGTCTCACCCACCCCCTTCACTCGGCACTTTTTGTAACGAACTCCAGGCAGAGTATATATTTTCTGAAGGCGGGCGCGAGACGGTTCCGATGGTGACCATCCGGCATACAGGATGTTCATCTACATAAGTTATGAATTTTTATGTTAAAAACTCGAAAATCTCCAGAAATCACCAAACACACCCTTCACCCAGGCACTTTTTTGAGCGGATCTCAGACATGATGTATATTTTCTGAAAGCGGAGGACGAGGTGGCTCCGACGGTGACTATTTCCGTGTACCAGCCATTCATCTACAAAATTTATGAATTTTTTATGTTGAAAACTCGAAAATATACAGAAATCACTAGGCACACCTTTCACTAGGTACTTCTATGAAGGGATCTCAAACCCATCTATTCCTTGAAACCAGAGGGGAACGTTGTTTCACTCGCTGACGTGTGCAACTACAGAAGCTACTATTTTTTTCCTTTTGGAAGTTCGTGAATCCCTATAAGTCTTCTTGCTCCTTTCCGATACACAAAGAATTCTCGTATAAATATCTCCTTTGCTTAACCTTACCTCACTGCTGATTTTTTTCCTCGGCTTTTGGTGAAAGGAATCACCTTGGTCCCGGTTCAGGGGTGAAGAGGGGGTGAACAAGTTCTCACACTATCGCACCTATGCATTAAAGTAGGCTGGGAAGAATTTGTGATGAAAAGTCTCCTCCCCCGAGCATAAGTCGTAGGAGGCGCTAAACTCCCACATAATATATATCATCTGAAAGCTCTCGATGAGAAGAATTCAACCTATGAAGTTGCAACACGGTTCATGCAGTTCTTAAGAAGTTATGAGCTGTTAAATTTCAGAAAGCGTTTTTTTACTTGCTTCTTCAAGATTTGGATCTCGGCGCTGTCACAATGGATCGGTACGGCTAAGATATATTCTGATAAGGAACACCTAACTCTACAGAGCCTATGAAGTCGCAACATCACATACCTTCACATTCAGGATTTATATGAGTTTAACTGTCAGCTGTCACTAAGCAACCTAAAATGACCCAATTTTTCAAAAGTCTGTTTTTCGGCGATCACTTCTCACAAACTGATTCTTTCACTATCTGATAGAGCACCATTTACTCTTGAAAACCTATAAAGTCGCAATTGCTGACATCTACACACGTCAGATTTATAACAATGGAAATTTCGCATGAATTTTTCTTACTTTATTATTCAAAATTCTGGTTCTCGGCGGTTATTCCCTGGATCGACCTACTTTCTTCGCAGTACGTTATGAGAAAACTTACTTAATAAAATCCGTACAGTCATGCCAACTTTTACTTTCAAATACACCATTTACCAAACGCGTTTATTTTTAATATACATGCCGCCGTGCACATAAAAATATGCTTTCAATTATGTTTTTTGCGTTTTTTTTTGCTTACTTTCCTTCTTTATTATCCAGCAAAAAAATTTTTATTCCAAAAATGAATGGTCACCCTGTACCAGCTCAGAAGTGAAGGTAGGGGGAGAATCGGCTCCCACTATCGCACCTCTTTTCCAACCAGCCGTTTGATATTATCGTCGCTAGGAATGTCAATCAGCATAATTGCTGAGGGGGTGAGCTGACGTAGCGCATAAGATGATATTTCTTTAGCTCACCTTTTAGTACCATTTTATGCGAACCATATCGTTAGGTAAATGCACCTACGAATCCAAAAAGAAAAGCCGTCTACCGCGAGCTGTTTCACGTGTAAAGGACCGGGCATAGTTCACGCGATTTCAGTCGCGCCGCGATCTGGCATTTCGCCAGAAGTCTTCAGATCCAACACTAGCAAATCGCACATGCACACTATGTATAACTTATGTGGATTGATAAAATGCCCTGTCTTCTGTACGTTTGAAGTGTGCTTACAGTGAGTTGTAGACAGTTGGGATATTGCCAAATCGGTCGCGAATGAAATCGCGTTAAGTATGCCCGGCCCTCAAACCGGTGCACTGCGATTGCTGGTTCAAATCGGAACATTCATTCATTTCGGATTGTTATGAAATTAGATACAGCAATCATCGATGTATCTGCAGGTACATCATTGGTAAGTCTGCGAGCTGGTTTTCGATTTTGCTCATGTAACTGCGAGGACACTATATATAGAAGGAGTCGCTGGATACAGTTCAATGATGCCCGTCACACTAGTTTAGTGCGGACCAGGGTCAAGCGTGGGGTGCGGCACGCCACACCTGGGGGGTCGTATTGAGGAGTCAGAAGGGAAGGGGGTCGTAGTTGGGTAATCTGATAATAGTGAAAACATGATATTCGTATCCTATCCATAATTAGCATGTCAAATAACCCCTGTAGAAAAAGTGTGAGCGAATTCTGAAGATTCAAGATATTAGGCTACCCAAGTGAAATGGTCAAATTCCAACATGATTAACTTTGTTTCAGAGGTGAACTAGCTATCCGCTTTTGCACTCAAGACAAAGCACTACTCCTACTTTGTCCACAATCCCGCATCCAGAAGACCTCCAAACTGTGGAATTAGAAGCCAACCAAAAACTCGTTTTTCTCATTTTTCGCTTCTCGCTGTGCTTTCACCAGATATCACTCAGAGCTAAGGAAACGAATCAGGCTCAAATCACTCCTGTGAAAACTAGGAGATCTAGGCTATCGATCTATGCAGACATGGTTTGCTAAAAACGTTTTTGTGACATAGTTAGTGGAGTGCGGCACACCCCCTTAAAAGCTGCGGCGGCCGCACCCCATTAACTATATCAAAAAAACAATTTTAGCGGACAATATTTATATGAATCGATAGCTTAGACCTTGTAGATTCCACAGGACTGTTTGGAGCCTGATTCGTCTTCTTAGCTCTGAGTAATATTTGGTGAAAGCACAACGATCAAAAGCGAAAAATGGGGAAAACGAGATTTTGGTTGGCTTCTAATTCCAGAAGTTTGGAGGTCTTCTGAAGCGGGATTCCTGAGGTGGATAAAGTAGGAGTAGTGCTTGTCTTGAGTGCAAAAACGGATAGCTGATTCACCTTTGAAACAAAGTTAACCATGTTGGAATTTGACAATTTCACTTAGGTAGCCTAGTATCTTGAATCTTCAGAATTCGCTCACACTTTGTCTACAAGGGCTATTTGACATGCTAATTATGGATAAGTTGCCCATTATGTTTGACAAGGCCTTCAAGTAATGCTATCTCAAGTGTATAGTTCAGGGGTGGGGGTCTTATTAAGACAGCAATCAGGGGGGGGGGGGTGTAACCAGCGATCGTGTGCCACACCCCTTGCTTGACCCTGGTGCGGACCACAACTGTACGATGCGGGTTAGGCTAGACTGCGCGGTGTACATCGCGAAGTTTGGTTCAACCCTGCGGAGGTTCGTTTGCCCTTGTTCGATGTGCTCATCACTTGCATCTGAGACTACGTCAAGCGAAGCAGACTCAGAATGTTTGGTGGCATAGTGGCAACAGATACGTAAACTACAATTTTTTTCAGATCTCCAACAAAGACGAGTTGATCGAAAGTTAGGTCAATAGAGTTCCACCCCAACCTGTGCGGCAAAGTAATAGAACATCAACTCATAATATTGATCGTTTTCATTCTAAAGATAGTTAGGTTTTTGATAACAGACCGCAAACAGCATAGCCAACAGTTATAGTCCACCCTGCATGTCTGGCTACGAGAGTAGCATGGCGTAACTACGCTGTGTGAACTTCCCAGTTCATACATTTTTATAGCTGCTGCTAGCCTTTAACATACCAACAAATGCCAACACTCTCATATTCATGTATTAAAACTCTACGATAACAAATCTAAAAACCTCGACATTATATCCTGATATGCGATGATTTGCAGATTTCTGGTCTTGAAGTGGATGCTGCGCACGAGAACGAGTGATCCTCAAAAAGAAATAACCAAAGCTACACGATATGATTTTGAAGTATAAACCGTCAGTACATGATCTCTCTGACGATGAAATTTCAGCTAAGAGGCTTACTCGACAATCTATTCAACGTGATTGGTAACTTGAAAGTTCTGCGACCAGGAAGAATGATCTTTCAGAGTGACGACAATACTGTAAGCTTGTATATGTGATATGTCGTTGAAGATGACATAAAGAAATCAAATATTTGGTTTTTCCCATTTCAGAAAGTATTGGAAGATTACAAGGCACTTTTCGTCTACGACCCTTTCCAAGTTTGTTCACTTTCGGTAATGAGAGCCGATGGATATACTAAATCCATGAAATCTTTGAGAACTCCTGTTGATTTGCTGCAGAGTACGGTAAGAAATTATGTCAGCTGTAATGGCTCACCTTCGTGATGTAAACATTTTAAAGACGCCACTTGACAAGACGTCATCTGTAAACAACGGGAATACCCATGATCAGAAGCTTGATACAAGACCAGTACTAAGGTATGTCGCACTCATTGGCAAGGTCCCTCGCGTTTATACGTCATATCGGGGGCTTGAGGAAATAGGCATTTTAATTCGAAAATCACTTCTGAAGACCCAGTGAATCCTTACTAAATGGAGCGCAAAATAAGGGGCTGGCACGAACTACTGTAGTTGGATAGAACTGTATTGTGGAAAGAGAGTAAAGCGGATTTGGTAAGACATGTTCTACTCCGCTACAAACTTGGCACGCCTTCTCTGCAAGGGCCACGCACCGTGCAGCAGACGTTTTGATCAAGCATGCTGTCAGCTGAACCTAGTGTAGTTGATTCTAGGCTCATGCTTTTTTATTTTATTTTTATCTCTTCTCTTGAACCACCATAGAAAATTGCGATGGATTGATGCAAACTAGGAATATTTAAAAGGGAGCATGGGTTGAGATCGAGAATTGTTGTATGTTGCATGTCCTTTTGTTCTGTTTTGCATTTATAAGTGCTTGGTGAATTTATGGAGTGGTTTGAGGCTACCATTTGCGCAGTCTCCAAACGTAATAAAAGTAAAACTAGTGAAAAATTAGGTGGTCGTAATTTTGTGGAAACCATCACATGATGTGATGATTTGATGACCATGGTTACATCGTGCTAACCATAATCATTTCTGACGGCCTCTCATTTCAGTCATGCAAAGTCGTGAAAAGCAAGTAACAAGAAGGTTACCGTTGTTGTTTCATAATTGTTTCTTCCAAACCAAACTACGAAACATCCAGCAGGTTAACATCATCGTTTCATTACTAGATAGGGCAGTTAAAATAGCACTTCAGTTGGTACTATTTCAAATGATACCATCACATCATTGTTCAAAATAATGAAGTACCCCAGACCAGACCACTTTTCAATTGAAAAAAACGGTTTTAGATGTCAAGAGGAATGAGGAATTATTGTAAATTTACAGTACGAAATTCTCGGTGACTTTTAGATAAGATCATGGGAGAATGCAGTTCTAGAGACCGAACTGCAATTTCGTAAAATGCTATGGAGTTGGGCAAGCATGAGAATGATGGCGATTCGATCTCCTCCAGTACCAACACTTTGCTAACTTCAGAATCAAATGGAAAAGTGTCCAAAACGTGATTTTTGATTGGTTACCTCGTGGTTACATTAAAAAGATAATATGAAGCTGCTGGTAACATTGCGTCATAAATACACACAAGGGAAGGATACTTGTCGAAGTGGCGTTTTCACAAAAGATGTATACCTTCTTATAGAGCAAGGAACGCTGATTCCGAATTTGCTTTCATTATCTGCAAAGCTGTTCTAGGAGGAGAGTCATGAAAATTTTTGACGTAGAAAATTCAAGGCGCAAGAACAATAAAATTATTCAGAACTATAGTCTGTAAGCTCGGATTGGGTCATGATTACAACCGCGCTTCGTGTAGTTAATACCGTCAATCTATAAATTTAAGCTGGTCGTTACTACACTGAGGCGCCGGAAGGAACTTAACACTCTTTTTAGCTTAGCCAAAACCATGAATTGTTGCCTCAAAAGATTCTCATAACTCCCATCCCAAAAGCGCTTTGCAGATAAAGAAAGCAGATTTACAATCGATGTTCCATGTTCTATGAGAAATTATACATCGCATTTGACCATAACGCTTGACAAACAGCATTCCGACCAGGTATCCAGGGCTCGGCACGAGTCGGTTTCTAGGGTTTCTGAGAACGAAGTCTCCCTTGACTTTCGGAAGTTTTACGAAGTCCCCTCTGACCTACCTTAAGAGAAGATGAAAACAAGAAAGATTTACTGGTCTGAAAGAAAAGACGTCAGATAAGAGTGAAAATTCAAACTGGAGCTGAATAATACGCATGCACAAGACTTTGGCATTGAAGAGCGATATTTAACAAAGCGAGAAGAAATGAAGGCAAAAACAAAGGAAAGGGAATGATATGGAAATGTCTTCATGCCCAGGGATAGGTTTTTGACTGGGGAAGCCGTCCATGCTAAAGAGATCCGAAACTTATGTGAAGTGACAAGAATATATGCTCCAGACGATCCCAGATCGTCTGGTGGCCGTCTGGAGACGGACTAATTTTGGAAAAGGTATTTCTTCGCATAAGTTTTCGAATCTTTTTACAAAATCCTTTCGCAAATAATTTTCTATACATACAGTTCAATTTTGGTGTTATGATTCTGTGTACGCTGTAAACAAGCAATTTGTTTATTTTAGCCTTGCTTTCGAATCGCGCGCACTTTTCGCCATGCACGATAGAGCATGTCAATCGTGTGATGACCTGTCCGAAAGGCTTGTGTTCGACTAAATGGCGCTTATTCTTGGTGCTCGGTTCCGACTCGTCAAAAACGATATCCCCTCTGCTGTTTGCTTCAAAAACGAAGTCCAGCCTGCTTCCAGACGATCTGTGCCGGGCCCTGCAGGTATCCTTCCCTTATCTGTGATGATGGTTTCGACCAAATAACTATCACTCGAGGTTCTTTATTTGGACACAACAGCACGCATTGCAGGAGCCTAGTTATGAATGAGTGCTCAACCTGTTCGTACAACAGAAAAAGCACGCTTATTTCACTTCTGGGGCGGTATGTAACAATCGCCCGTCTGGGTAAGTTATCCGGACAGGTAGTTTCCGCTTCATAGCTTGGTGCTCTGGGAAACTGTGTTCTTCTCTGTTTGTTCATCTATTAGAGCCTCTATTACCCTAATATTGTAGCACAATGACTAGCAGCACTTTGCTGTATAAGCTAAGATAATTCGTTATTTGTATGATCCCGAACAGGATCTCCCACTGATCACGCCCATTTTCAAAGTTATTTATATCCGCAAAAACTCAATGAAGACGTGGCAGAGTTTTGCTGTCGTCTATTACGACAGTGCTAACAAGGGAATGGTCAGAAGTCGAAGTGGCCAATCCATACAAGCTGCATACCATTAGATGCACCATGGAACGCTGACTCTAAATCTGTCTTCCTTATCTGCAGAGCGCTTTTGTGGACGAAATCATAAGCCGTTGAAGGCCATTATTTTGCTAAGAAATTGTGCCTGTAAAGTGCAAACTTGGCCGTACAAAGCCATTCTCGGCTCGATGTTGGACCAAAACATACAACTAGGTCACTTTACATAACTCGCACCTAAAGGTGTGCTGAAAGAGCAATAATGTGCCTAATTTCGCAATTATCGTATACGGTTTTTCCGCAGTAAAGCTGCTCATAACTTCGCCTACAAAGGCGCTCTGCAGATATGGAAGACAGATTTGAAATCAGCATTTTATGCTGCATCGAACGGTATGCAGGTTGTATGGATTGGCCACTTCGACTTCTGACCATTCCCTTGTAAGCATGTTTTTAGTAGCACAGATGAAATATGCAAGTTTTGAATTTTTCGGTAGAGCCCAGTTCGCGAACACAGGTTCAGCGAAGATATTGTCAACTTAATTTTTGACTTATTTCTTTCGCAATCATGCGTAGCACTGTCGTAATAAATGGATAGCAAAGCTCTATGACGTTTTCATTGAGTTTTTGCGGATATTAATAACTTTGAAAATGAGCGTGATCAGTGGGAGATCCCGTTCGGGATCATACAACTAACGAATTATCTCAGCTTATACAGCAAAGTGCTGCTAGTCATTGTGCTACAATATTAGGGTAGTAGAGTCTCTAATAGATGAACAAACAAGGAAGAACACAAATTCTTAGAGCACCGAGCTATAAAGCGGAAACTACCTGTCCGGGTAACTTACCCGGACGGGCGATTGTTACATACCGCCCCTGGAGATAATGAAAATTTGAGAACTTTTTTTCAAAACAAAATCTCCATTCTTTCGAAGATAAGCGTATTAAGTCCGTGCCTTTGAAATTCTGAAAAAAAGTAGAATTAACAAAGAACACTTAAGAAAACTTCTGGTAAACATCGGAATCGGGAGACGCCTTTTTGCAGCAAAGTATTTAGCAGTCACCCGCATGATTTGTCTCATACCGTCGCGCACATGAAAATTTCTCTCTCTCTCTTGCGTAGGCAGAAGTCGCCGCTGTGTTTCGCGCGACGAGGTACTATCTTAAATTTTTCTGACGTATTACAGTTGCGATGACCTACACCAAGCAAAAACTTTAGCTGACAAAACGCCAGATCGAGACGCTTGCATTTGCGGTGCATGCTCGCAGGGCGGAGCGCGGAGGCAAATGCTCAAGTCTGTGGCGGTGCGTAAAAGGCTAGACTTTGTTGAGACTACACGCTCAAGCTTACCTCATATATGAGCACACTGCTTCCTTAGCTAATTTCACGAGTACAAGACGCATCCGTTTTTTTTCTGAACTTAACCAGCCTAAACATCAGCGAATTTCGCGCCCAAAGGACCCTCTACCGTGCTGCTCCTTACTTAGAAGCATTCTATAGAAGAACAACCAGTTCGCGAGGCTCAGTGGTGTGACCGTTCTGCTTGCATGAAAAAGTGAAAAAGGTCTTGTACTTGTGAAATTAGGGTACTATACGACTAAACTGCTCAAATCTTTCTGAAGAATTAAAAGATAGTAGTATGCGAATGATTACCGTTTCCTGAATACTACCGCCAGCATGATGCGAGCATATTCATCAAATGCAATGATTTTTTTTTGCTGCAGAAACAATACGGATCGCTACTGGATGCTTAGAAAAAAGGAGAAAACACTATTGCAATTGAAGGTATGTTTAAAGTGCGATTACCTCAACTATGAAGATCTTTTCAGAATCAGAGCGATGTGGTATGGCAGATGGCAAAGCAAAACCGCTCTTATATAAAATGCTCGATGGCTTTGTAGTAAAGTAGAGTTACAAGCTTGGGTTAGGGGTTTAGCCTGTAGATAGGAATATGTATGCTTTGAGTTGTACGCCAATGTTAAGTCAAATCTGCTGTTAGAAATGCTTTTAGAGTCAATAAAGTAGTTGCTAGAAAAAACACTTCCGAATTCTCGGCATCCTTACAGCTCAACAAATAACAGCTATCAGGTTGAACCAAAAGTTTTGTAGCACCACTTTGAGAAGGATAGTAACCTCTTCCCGTTACGATAGTCTTGCAAAACATTAATGTCATTGGAAAGGCCATATACTTAAAACAATATAAAAACCGTTTTGGGCTCAGCAGCAAGGAAGAAAAAATTTTTTGACGTGTCGTCTCTTTGAGCAGCAACCAAGATGTTATAACTTTTTATTTAACCGGCCAACGTTTCGGCTTTTTCGCCTTCGTCAGAGCCTGGAAAGTCGAATGTACAAGTGACACATCCACTCAGACGCCAACACCAAAGCTCAGGATATCATTCAATCCGTGACCAGTACGAAAGCCAAGGCAGATTAACGGACTGCCAGAACTAACCTTGGATGACACTACAAAAGGCGCATTGACCACCGAATGTAGGATCTGTACACGAAAACGCTGAAAATGTTCGGTAATGCTTAAATATTCATGAAATGTCAATAAAGAACATCGACTATTGAAAAAAATGTTTGATTAGTTAGAAAGGCATACAAAATGAACAACGTAAGCAGGACCTAATTGCCCGCGCCGTGCCTTGAACACCAGCGTAAGCGAGCGGTCGTCGCGAACGACTGTCGGCGTTCACTATATTCCAAAGAATCTTTCTTTAACTTTCATGTTGTTCTCGTCAATGCAAGGTATATCTCGACGAAAACCCCCCTCAAAAGTTCAAAAAAATATGTGTGGAAAGGACGCGCGCTCATTGTCGCTCGAAAAAAGCCTGTAGCGCTTCGGGACCAAACGTTTCCAGCCGCGCCGCGCGTTGGTGTTCAAAGCGACGCGTGGGCAATTAGGTTTTACGGGGCCTATATATCCAGAACCAAAAGAAGCAAGGAAACAAGGTGGAATCATTGAAAATGAGCGGATTTCAATCTCAGTTCGTCAATTAGCACGCTTTGTGTGCAATACGCATATTGATTTACAGATGACTCGGGCATATCAAGGGCCGCGATTTACCCGATAGTTACTTTGCGAGATTACCGCTACACCGCAGCGTCCGATAGAAAATACGGTTCGCCGCGGACTAACTCAGGGCCCGCAGCGTGCCAGGCTGAGCTTTCAAGGGCCACGCCGCTTCAAATAATTCAATTTAAGCCTGCGAACTTTCCAATGCAGTTTTCTGAATACCAAAATGAATAGTCTGGCATCACGACTGCTTCGCCAAGCACAGCGAGGCGGCTGAGCCTTCTCATTGAAAAAAGAAAAAGGTGAGTCTTGTACTTATGAAATTAGGGGAAGTTACAAATGACTTGCCCATACGTAGCCCCCCTCCCCCCGGGAATGGGTCGCGAAATTTTTGAAAGTTACTTACATGGGTTATAAACAGGGTAAAGCGGGGGGTGCGGCACGCGACCGCCGGATACGACCCCCCCCCTTGGGCCGGACCTCGTCACGACCCCTCCCCCATTCTCAACCCCCCCCCCCATCCCTACCTTTTCCACGAACTCTCAACTTTGGTAATTGCTTTATTTCAACTTGGAAGGAAGAAGTGAAAACGAAGTGATTATCGCATGGGTGTTCGTCTAGCAACGTACACACGGCAAACGCAAGCCTGCAGCAGAAGACATTCAAACATTACAACATCAACATTCCAACACATTCAACGAATCTTTTAGATGCGAACAATCATCCATCGACATGATGGCTTCAGGACCACCATAGATACTAACGACATTATCAGAAAAAACTCATCAATGCTACGACCGAAATATTCGAAAAACAGAACTCTATTAGAAACTCTTCCAAAAAAGTTTATACCTGTTGCATCCTTTTCATAAAATCCGCATGCTTCTCAAGTTTGTCACTGCGAAAAACAAAACTGAATTTACATAGAGAAAATTGAATAATTTAGATCATGTTTATGTATCTGAGCTTCCGATTCCTTACCGACCTGATGCCATTCAGATAACTGGCGAATCCTTTGCCGTAGAATGCCACCAGGTAGTAGCAGAGGAATGCGCGATCTTTTCTGTCGATCTTTCGATAAAGCTCAGCAATTCCTACCCAAAAAAAGCTCAAAAACGAAGAATTCATCCTGATTACTAACCGTCAATGAGGCTTATCGTAGTCGACATAGGTTTTCTCGTAAACTGGCAGAACTCTCTGAAAATCTCAGCAAACCAACTTGAAAAATAAAACAGCCATGGAAGCTGACTCAAGAATTTTCATTGCATCCTCCCACCTCTCCCCTTTAGCGAACAGATCGGCTGCCTCACATAGTAGGCTATCTTTCAACTGGCGCTCGACGGCACAATGGCAAATCAAACGCCAAATGAGAGACTTGGTCATTCCACTGAAACATCAGAATTCTTTGCAGTTTCAATATGGATCAAAATGCCAAAATGTATGTCCCATTCACACTAACAGTGTTAGCATTGAGCATCAACATTTTCAATAAGACCGACCAGAAGCTGCACTGTTCTACTCATGCCATTTTCCATGCAATCAGACGTCTTCCTGACAAGTCTGTACTCAAAAAGGCCCTAAGAGCCAAGCAATCCTTTCAATAAGTGTCCGCTTGCCGTCTTCCCACAGCATTTTGTCTGATCTGAAAAAAGGAGGTTGGGCAGTGAGTTATGCAAGTGGTTGGTAAACAAGACTTATGCGTACTGACATTAACTAGTGAGAATTTTATGAAATGCTCCTGAAATGCACTTTTTCCACGATCTTTATCAACCAAGCTGTTCAGCTGAGCAGTGAGTTCATCAGAAAACGAAAATGGTACATTTTTTGCCTGATCTTGGTCAGAATATGTGTATGGATGAAACTGAAAGAATTTATGGCAATGCAAACCTTTTTGAACTTCTTATCACCCATACATGAATGGAACTCGCACTGCATCATATCGAAGAAAATCGGAAGAGGAAAGCTGGAAAAGGACATTTGCGCAAGAGATCACGAATCATCTGGAGCATCTTCAGAATAAAATCCATCTTGTCTATATCACTTGGCCTAAAAGCTCTTTCATGAACAAATCGAACAGAGACATGCATCATTACCTAATCTCTATATAACTGCCGAAAAGTTGAGCGGACATTTTGTTGAGTAAAGCTAAGATGAGAGAGAAAAATCGGCCACGAATCTCGTCATTCTAGAAAAAAATCGAAAAAAAAAGTTTATGCTTGAATTTCACACACTGAAAAACTCACGGAGGCATTCTGTTGGCCGATATGAACCATTGCTTGCACAAGCGGTCTATAGGTCGCATCTTGATAAGGTTCAGCTCTTCATCAGTTCCCAATTAATGGTGAGGAGGTGGCGTCTAAAAAAGCAAGTATGTTCTACAGATGCCGAAGTCGTCATGCCACAGCGCATACTTCGAACGAGAGAGAAAAGTGAGAAAAAAAGAGAGAAGCCCGAAAAACTGCACCACAAGATGAGATTTTAGCTCACAGATTTCAAAGACTCGCATCTCGCGGCTTTGTGTTTTGACAATTTTCGAACACTACCGTAACCCAATATTTTTTGGCCACACTTCCCAGCATATGGTTCGCAAAAACCATATGTATCTCCTTCTGTAGAAGAAGGTTCGAGGGGAAGCAGCTACTACGGAGAGAGGAAGGATGGATCTATAGGTCGACATGAAAAAGGCAGCTGTTTGAACGTTTTGAAGGTAAGTTAGTGGCCTGCGGCACCCCCCCCCCCCTCAAAACCTGCGGCAGCCGCAGGTTTTGAGGGGGGGGGGGTGCCGCAGGCCATTCACTATATCAAAAAAACACTTTTAGCGGACAATATTTACATGAATCAATAGCCTAAACCTCGTAGATTCCAAAGGGATGTTTTGAGCCTGATTCGTCTTCTTAGCTCTGAGTAATATTTGGTGAAAGCACAGCGATCAAAAGCTAAAAGCGATTTTGGTTGGCTTCTAATTCAATAGTTTGGAGGTCTTCTGAAGCGGGATTCCTGAGGTGGACAAAGAAGGAGTAGTGCTTTGTATTGAGTGCAAGAAGAGGTAGCTTACTCACCGTTAAGATGAAGTTAATCATGTTTAAAATTACTGCTTTATACAAGGTTGTTTACTGCTCGGAGACCTCAGAGTCCGCTGAAACTTGGCGCATAGGGGTTATTCGACACGCGGATTACGACAATTATGCTTGATTAGAGGTACGGTAGGTTACGGTAGGCATACGGTATCTGCAAGTTTGTGTCGTTGAACTTGAACTGTAAAACTTAACTGCAGTCATTTCTTAGAAACCGCTTTTGACCTTGGGTCGATACGACCCCCCCTACCTACCCCCCCTTACGACCCCCCCCCCCCCCTGCGGCGTGCCGCACCCCCCGCTTTACCCTGGTTATAAATATGTGCAAATGACTTGTCTGCACTTTTAAATAACTAAAATAATTTCTAAAAATTTTTAAAAAGTTTAATTTAGCCTTATAAAAAAAAATTTGAGAAGCACCCCAAAAATTCTTTTGGAGTGCGTGGCTAACGCCACACACTTCTTCAGAAAAAAATTTTTGTTGCCCCCCCCCCCCGAGCCGAAAGTCTGGGTACGCCACTGGTAGCTACCTCTCCCATATTTTTTTGGATTTGACCTGCTGCTTTGCTATAAAGAACGACATTCTTTTCTTTCTAACCTAATAGTTGGAGAATTTAATGACGGAAAAAAATCTGAAGAGCAACAGTCCCAACTACCATCATCATCACATGAACAGGTATAAATTAATCATTTATCTGTACAAAACACGGCACGTTGGAACAAATGACTTTAGAAGATCATTAAGATAAACCAATTTTCGATTTCTGAGAACAAAAAGCCTGTACAGAATTACATAAGACATGTGATGGTGTGAGAAACCGTTACGTTTCACAGCTACTTAAATTTTCGAAAGAAAAAAGGGAATGAAATTACCCATGGACCAGCCAGAAAAGAAAGGGCATTAAGATGAGAGGCTTTAAGAGTGTTTTGAAAGGCTGTGGAACCTTTTGCTAATTGTAAAAACTACTGGATATGATAGAAAAACAATAACTGAGATGATATCACATAAGATTACCTAAATGCTAGAGATAATGATACACGTTTTGCTGGAATTTGCTCTACAACATCGCTTTGACGTGATTTCTTGCAATGATCTTGTCCCAGAACTCGGTCCTCTTCCGCTGATAGTCATCAGCCATAACAGGTTGCGGAAGGTTTATTCGAAGATGACGGAACGGCTGTTTACTATCATATCGCTCCCATGTTTTCCCATTTTCTGATGAGGACGAGTTCGGATCACCATTAGGATCACTGAAAATTAGGTTTGATTGGAAGCCAACTACTATAAACCTCTCAGCACTCACCCATATTTAGCAAAATTGGAGAAGAACGTTGTCATAATCTCGAGCATTTTCAAATCATCTTCATTCGGGTGAAATTTAGCAAAAACACCTTTCCCAAGTACGTAACGTAATTCGTAACAATGTGTTGCACCTGAAATAAAAATTTGCTGCATTTGGAAGTTGGTAATCGATGCTAGACATTTGTGTAGTCGCACACCTATAGAAAGCGCGCGCGCAAATGCGTGCGGCCGCGTCGAGGTTGCATGTTTATGCTATCATGTTGGTACGTAGGAGAAAAATTGCAGTTCTTCGAAAATTCCTGGACCATCACGCTTCTCAGTCCATTTTTTTGAGCTAGGGGACTATATGTCGCCATACCAGCACACTGCGCGGACAGCTGGCACAAATGTAACGTCTGTAACAGTGACTGAGGGGGGGGGACAAAAATCTTTTTGGATGCTTCTCAAAGCCTTTCCGGGCCCATAGCCTCCTCAAAATTTTAGAAAAAAGGGGCGTAGCGGCAGCCAAGCCCCCGAAAGTTTCTTCTACAGAGCTAAATTGAATCTTAAAATTTTTTAAAAGAATATTTCAATTGTTTACAAGTAAAAACAAGTAACTTGCATATTTTTATAACAGATGTAAGTGTTTCAAAAAATTCGCGAGCGTCCTCTCCCCCCCCCCCTTAGTCACTGTTACAGACGTTACGGATTTGTATCAACTGTCCGCGCAGTGTGCTGGTATGGCGACATGTAGTCCCCTACCTCAAAAAAAATGGACTGAGAAGCGTGATGGTCCAGGAATTTTCGAAGAACTCCAATTTTTCTCCTGCGTACCAACATGATAGCATAAACATGCAACCGCGACGCGGCCGCACGCATTTAGGGGGGGGGGGCTTCTATAGGTGTGCGACTACTGTGTACGCTACTGGTCTGTAATATGTATGGCTGCGTGATCTGTTGCAAATGTCCGTGTGGACCACCTCTTCGGCGATATATAGTCCTCTACCCATTTTTTGGAAACTGTTGCTTGAAAATCGCGGCAATGGCATCGCAGCCGCAAGCATGCGCAAAACGCCCTCGACAGTATTAATTGAAAAAATATACCTTTAAAAGGAAGCATAAAGCGCAAGAATCCGAAACCATCTGGGTTGAAGTGCTCAAAACAATAAAAATAGACGTCATTGCCAAATTGTGACATTAGCCGCGTATACCGCATCATTCCCGCATTGATAGCGTAGTCACCGAAGAACTAAAAATAGTGCTTAGGATTTTAAATGTCTGTACCAACCTGACCTCACCTCAACCATACGCTCCGCCACCTTGAGTTTGTTCTTTGGATCCACATCCTTCATATAAAAATCACAAATTTCCTTGCGAATGGTTTCGTAATCACTGCCATAGTCACATTCGCAAACTACACGATCACAGAACTTTCGAAAACCTTCTAAGCTTTTCGGAAATCCTCCAAGCGCCACTGTAAGTTAGATCGAATTTATTAAAACAAATTCTTGCCGTGTAACTTTAGAAATTCTACTTATAATAGTAGTAGTTTTTACCAAAAAATAATCCTTCATTCTGAGTGGTTCCACACATTATGGACTTCTTAGGCGATTCACGTCGCAGCTCCTCCATCGGCTTCGGGAAGAAGTCACCGTCATAATTGGGAACAAAGTACAGATTACCCGACTGTGAATGTCGAAAGTTCTAGAATGCAAGAGTTATCAAAGTTGTAAAAGTCCCAAAGGAATTTACCTTTCTTGGTTGCATTCCAACTTCTAAATGCGATGAAGGTTGAGCTTGCATGAAGTGCAGTAATCCTTCGGAATCGTCGTCTAGAAACAGGAAATTTTGATTGTTCAAGCAGAATAAGTAGCCTTAAGAAAAGCATTTCCTTGAATTGCAATAATTTCTTTATCTGGTAATCAAATTAAATCTGGAAAAACAATTATTGAATGAAATTAAGGCTCAAGTACGTCTTACTGAATTTTTCAAACATCTGTTTCAAAATTTGTGTTTGAATAAGAGTTTGAAATTTCTAAAAAAAACTCGTTCACGGCTCGGCACGAGGTGGCTTCCCGAAATTGCAAAAAACGAAGCCCCTTTAATTTTACTATGAAAGTACGACATCCGCCATGAAATGTTAGAAAAGAGAAGGAAAGGAAAGCAACAAAGCAAAACAAAAAAAACGCCAAAGAAGCATCAAAAACGCGCCCGGAGCAGCTTTGCGCCGCCATCCAAAATTTTCGGGGGCTGTAACTAAGCGGGGAGAAGGGGGTTTGAGGCGGTTTAAGAACCAAATTGTAGGGTTTGGTCTGTAGACGAGAATTATGTAAAGAAATCGAAAAAAATTATGTGAGGGAAGAAAATTTCTTGACTTTTCCTTTCCCAAGCCAGCTCAGGTGGCTTCCAGGTGGCTTGAAACACATGATTTTTTCATAATTTTTCATACATAGTCGCAACTCCTCATTGTCCATCTACACCCAATTTTGGTGTCATTTCATTTTCAATTCGTTGTAAACGAGTCCTTTGTTTGTTTGGGAGAGCATGCCGCCGGAACATACGTGTGCAAAGGGGGAACATGGCCTTTCCAGGGTGAAGGGGGTCATAGGGGTCCCGCCCCTCCAGGGTGAAGGGGGTATGAGGGCCGCTGGGGGGAGGGGGGGGGGGGGAGAGCGGCTGCGGCTGTGGAAGTGCGTCGACCGGGGGGGGGGGTGGCAATGTTCGTCATCATTGCCTCTCACGTTCTTTTCATTTACATGCATCAAGTGAAATTGTAGCCAAACCGGGTTAAAGTCGAATATTGGGTTTTACCCGCTGAAATTCGAAGAAGAAAAACTGGAATAAGTGAGACTAAGAAATCAACATTTTAAGCAAAATTTAAAGCTATCGGCATCATTAAAATCAAATTTAGTGACATGTTGATTCTGAATATTATTATTATGATTGTCAAAACTTACTTGCAGGCTCACTGAGAAGTACATCGGAAATTTACCGCCTATTGTTCACTTCTAGAGAACGATGAAAAAGCCTGGAGAAAAATTTACGTGTGAAGCCTTTGTGTATATACGTCAATGAAGTTATTACTCACGTATTTGCTGAAATAATAAGTGAAATAATAAATGAACTTTGAATGATCGGTGCGCAGTTGAAATGCATTCTTTTTAAGAGGTATAAATTTTCTAAGCAGATGGCGGAATCCGTGTAAAGTCATTGAATGATTCCTTAAAGAGTCGATGTTCCAACTTTTAGTATCATTTCTAAACTCAGAAAGAGATCGTAACATTTGCTAGAGAAGCAGGTGCAACAGAGGCACCCATTACATCGAAGAGTTGGTGTAATCAGGGTTAGACTTACTGTCAAAATGTTATAGCTACGAGGATCGTGGAGCTCTACAATCCGCCTACTTGGACGATGATAGGGATGCGGAAAGCAGCCAGAGATGCATTTTTCCATCTTGGAGCACTATACAAGAGGAGAAGGACAATCGTATATGCGTGATTATTCTGAAAAAAAATTTTGTTTTCCACTGAAGAAGACTGAGAATTATAAAAGATCTTAGAAGAAGAACTCAGCCATAATTAGCCTACTCTAGTTTAGAAGTCTACTTTCCATCCGCTTTCAGAAAACATACAGCTTGCCAGGAAAAAGAGGGGTTTCTTCTTCTAAATGGAAATAGTTTTAGTCATTTTTTCAAAATTGTAGAATTTTTCTATAAGAAATTGTAGATTTTTGGTATGAGAAGATAAGAGAGTCTCTAGCCATACATTGATTTACTCTTGTTAAAAGCTTCCAGAAAATATATAGCTTACCAAAGAAGAACGGATTTTCCTGTATTGTGAAGGTGGTCGCAATTGTTTTTCTAGAATTAAGGTAATTTTTTTATAAAAAATCATAACTTTACTATACGAAAAGCTAGAAGAGTGCTTTGCAACCTATTGGAATCCCCTCTTCGTCCGCTTTCAGGAAATATACATTTTGCCAGGAAAAAAGAGGATTTTCCTGTCGGGTGAAAGGGGTCGCAGTCTATATTCCAGAATTAAGCCAATTTTTAACTTTAAAAAATCATAACAAATCTATATGAGAAGCTGGGAGAGTGATTAGGAGTTTATTGAATTCCTCTCGTCGTCCGCTTTCAGAAAATATATAGGTTGTAGAAAGAGGGATGCTAAAAGTACGTGGTGAAAGGGGAGGGAACATGGTACAATGGGCATGTTCCTTTAGCTCCTTAAAACGACGCTTTTTGAGTACAGAAAGGAAGATTTCCATTATACCATGTTCCCTCCCCTTTCACCACGTACTTTTAGCATCCCTCTCTCTGCAACCTATATATTTTCTGAAAGCGGAAGACGAGAGGAATTCAATAAACTCCTAGTCACTCTCCCAGCTTCTCATATAAAATTGTTATGATTTTTTTAAGTAAAAATTGGCTTAATTCCGGAATATAAACTGCGACCCCTTTCACCCGACAGGAAAATCCTCTTTTTTCCTGGCAAACTGTATATTTCCTGAAAGCGGACGAAGAGGGGATTCCAATAGGGTGCAAAGCACTCTTCTAGCTTTTCGTATAGTAAAGTTATGGTTTTTTATAAAAAAATTTCCTTAATTTTAGAAAAACAATTGCGACCACCTTCACAATACAGGAAAATCCTTTCTTCTTTGGTAAGCTATATATTTTCTGGAAGCTTTCAACAAGAGTAATTCAATGTATGGCTAAAGACTCTCTTATCTTCTCATATCAAAAATCTACAATTTTTTATAGAAAAATTCTACAATTTTGAAAAAATGACTAAAACTATTTCAATTTAGAAGAAGAAACCCCTCTTTTTCCTGGCAAGCTGTATGTTTTCAGAAAGCGGATGGAAAGTAGACTTCTAAACTAGAGTGGGCTAATTATGGCTGAGTTCTCCTTCTAAGATTTTTTATATTTCTCAATCTTCTTCGATGGAAAACAAAATTTTTTTCAGAATAATCACGCAGTGATCATACACGATTGTCCTTCTCCTCTTGCATAGTGCTCCAAGGTGGAATAATGCATCCCTGGCTGCTTTCCTCATCCCTATCATCGTCCAAGTAGGCGGATTGTAGAACTCCACGATCCTCGTAGCTATAACATTTTGACAGTAAGTCTAACCCTGATTACACCAACTCTTCGATGTAATAGGTGCCTTTGTTGCACCTGCTTCTCTAGCAAATGTTACGATCTCCTTCTGAGTTTAGAAATGATACTAAAAGTTGGAATAATGACTCTTTAAAGGCACCGTTCACCCTAAGTTGAGAATTTTGAGCTTTTCACAGCATATAATAGTAGGGCCCCCTGTCAATCCAATGCCCAAGTCGCGGCTCAAAATGTTGCTTCGGAAGAGAGAAGATCGCTTCGGAATAGCGAAAATGCACGAGGACCCCCATCCATGCCCGCCCTCCCCCATCCATGCCCGCCCATTTGTGCGCGCCCATCCAATCATCGTTCCGGAAGGCCGGCCTGTGTCCTCCGGAACGGGGATTGTCGGAGTTTTCGCGCATTCTCGACTACATATTCGGAATCAGGGACATGAGAAGACCCTAAAACGGCAAAAACGCGGAAGTCGAAAATCTGGGTGAACGGTGCCTTTAAGGAATCATTCAATGACTTTACATGGATTCCGCCTTCTCAGTGAGCCTGCAAATAGGTTTTTGATGATCATATTAATGATATTAGAAATTAAAATATTACTAAATTTAATTTTGATAATGCGGATAGTTTTATAATTTTGCTTAAAATGTTAATGTCTTAGTCTCACTTTTTCCACTTCATCATCGGCCGTGGGTGAAAGGGGGTAGCTGGGTTCCGGCCCTGGGGTGAAGGGGGTAGGAGCACATTATCGCCTTTTCACATGTATGCGCCGGAATGCCGGCAGCATGCCGGCGGCACGCAGACCGCATAAACGAAATCCCGTTTGCTTTTTCTCCCAAAAACAATATCCAGCTTGCTTAGTAAGTCACCTGTGCCGTGCCCTGGGCTCGCTTTCACAAGAAAAGAGCGCTACTAGCTTTACCTTTGCAAAAACGTACTCCGGTAATTTTTCCTTATCCTGATACCCCAGGAAAATTCTGTGGAAAGGCATTACTAGCGTGTTCGTTCGCCTTGTAACTTCCATCTAGCACTTTGCTAGCGAAAATCTGTTTTGAGGGTGGTTTTTAATTTTCAGAAGCAAGTATATACCTTTCCCCGTCCATCCCAGATAACGTGCAAATTCTCGACTCAATGTAGCCTGTGACTCCTTCGTCCGCATAGCAAAATCGCATTCGCCACAACCGGCCATAGGAATCACTCGTTGAAATAAATCTAAAGGTCCAGTTAGCATGAGATTGAACTAGCTTATGGAACATGAGGCAAACCGCGTGAATGTGGACTTATGGCCAATAAATCCGCACTGGCTCCACCGGCACTTTGGCCGAATACAGTGACATTATTTGGATCTCCGCCAAATGCTTCGATATTGTCGTGGACCCACTGTAGCGCAAGCGTTTGGTCCCAGAGACCGAGATTACCTAAAGTAGCTCAAAATATTGTTTTGGTGAGCAACACTTAAGGACGAGCAGTCTCACCTCTGCAGACGTCATCGCCTGTGGTGAAAAATCCAAATGGGCCAAGGCGATAATTTACAGATACAACAACTAGGTCTTTTACACAGAGATTTCTAAAATTGGTGATTCAAAAAAGGGCACATCAAAAAACGGCTGAATGAAAAATAGAAGAATAAAAAAAGCTACCTGGCAATAGATGTGTCACCGTAATTGCTGCTGGAGTGAACGGAAAAGCCTCCACCATGAACCCATACCATTACAGCAAATTTGCTTGGCTTAAATATTACGTTAATGAAAAAAATTTGAGAAAATAACTCACAGCATCTTCTCGCCATCGTGGTGTGAAAACATTGAGTGTAAGACATCTTGCTTCGTCTTTTCCCACTATATTTATGAACTGCAAAAATAATTCAATACTGTTCGATTATGGGAGGAGTTTACACCTAACCTGAGAAAAATACTCGTCTTGTTGTGGACACCGTGGCCCGAATTTTACACATTCCTTTTCTTCTGTCCAAGGCTTTACTGGTTGCGGTTTCTGAGATTATTCATTGAGCTCTGGTTGGGCATTGATTTATAACAGAGACTTACCTGAAATCTCAGCTTTCCTACTGGAGGTTCAGCATACGGTATACCCAAGTACATATCGACAATCCGTCCATCGATAAGGATATATTCTCGTCCACGTACGGGACCAGATTTTGTGTTCACCAGCGGCGATGGTGTTCGTGCCGCTGAAGCTATTGCTCCCATACGTCGCCGCTGAAAGAACTTATATAAATTATTATAGAAACCATTGAAAAAGAAGTTGCACGGAAAAATAAATTTGTGAATATCAGGAAATGCCTCAAAGTGCATGGGCTCATGTAACCTGACACAATTTCTTGAACATACATGGCAAACTGAAGCGTTATTGTGTTACTGATTCCATTACACTTTGAAATTTCAAACTACTTCCGTTTCAGGGGGTTCAGGCAAGGTTGGTTGCGATGATAGCTATTCCAAAATTTTATGCTATATTGCTAGTTATCCTTTTAGTTGCCATTATTTGTTTTTGCTAACACCTAATTGCTAAGAGAGCATTGCGCATATGCAACATATGGTCCGCATGATGCGTCATATGTGTCTCAGCGAGATTTCTGGTCAGATTGGCCCTTCCGATCGAAAGCTTTTATAAAAAGGCCAAGCTAAATGATGTCATCGAGATTTGGCGAATAGTTGATGCATTCTACCCTAAAATCCCATAGATAAGAGCGGTTTAATTTACCGGTGAAAAAATTGGAATGAATTGAAATTGAATGCAGTCAGCCCTCTAACTTGATGGATGGATAAATAAAAATCGGAGAAGAAGTTTAGAAGAAGCTCCGCCCCTCAACTCTAAACCCCGCTCACTTAATAAACAATTCATATAGAAAAATAGCGATTTTAACGGAATTTCGGAATTTATATATGAATTGTTTATTAAGTGGGCGGGGTTTAGAGTTGAGGGGCGGAGCTTCTTCTAAACTTCTTCTCCGATTTTTATTTATCCATCCATTAATTTAGAGGGGGTGACTGCATTCAACTTCAAGTTCATTCCAATTTATTTTTCACCGGTAAATTAAACCGCTCTTGTCTATGGGATTTTAGGGTAATTTTGACGTTCTGCTAATTGCAAATTTGGCTGTAGCATCAGAGAGCAAATTTAGCTTCAAATTCTTTTTCTAAAGATGGTGATATGGGCGTGTTCGAGTGGTCATTACTCAACAACACATAGAACTACCACTACAGTGCACCAAGAAATTATGACAGACATGCTGAAAATTTATGCTCATTGTCAAGAATGGCAGCCATGCAACCAAAAAGCATGCGTGTAATTTGGGCACGGGGTAAAGAAATGTTCCTACAGCCGTAAGATTTTTCGTAATAAAACGATTGTAGAATGACTACGTTCAGAAACTTAATAATATTTAGATTATCATATAATATTAGGTCGTTCCGGAAAGTAATGCCGCTCTCTTCGAAGCTACCCCATATCTCGTGAAACAAAGAATTGTAAGAGATCTTGATAGGTTTCGATGCAGCTTTCTAATAGTTATAATTTCATTGCATAATACTCAATGAGCTTTTGAAAAGTTACCAGAATCTGCGACCTACACTTTTCGAGAATGTCAAATTTCACAATTTTTCTTGACTTTTATAACACGATAGTGGAAACCCTACTGGAAACAACATCATTTTTTCTACTTTCCGTAGCTCGTTATTATTCTTGTACAGATTTTTTATTGGAACCACCGAATTTTAATAGGCTCATCGCAGACACGAATGCATCAAACACCAATAAATCTTCGGATTCTCAAACTTACAAAAGTGTATTATGGCTTAGCACTATTTTTACAAAGCAAATGAGCATTTGCCCCTTCAGATTAATAACTTTTGAAAAATCCGGATACAGCGTGGGGGGGGGGGCCTTGGAAAACTTGAACTATGATCATTTATCCCGGGAAACTTTATGAATCAGAAACAAAGAAAAACAAAGAAAGAGGAGAAAAAGCTGCGTCGAATCATACCCGAGCTGCTCGCTGGTTATTGTCCTGTGAGGTTTTAGTTGACCAAATGTGGGATTTGATAGCATTAAAAAATGCACTTCTTCGGGGAATCAGTACAAAAATTTAGAGAAATAACCGAATTTAACCATGGTAAAAAGCGTGAATCGTAGATTTTGGTGGTATTATGAGAGCTCATTGAACATTATGCAATGAGGTCATGACCACTAGAAAGAGGATGAAATGCTGCATCGAAGCTTCCAAGAGCTCTTGGAAATCTTGCTTCCACGAGATATGGCGTCGATTTGAAAGAAAGCGACATTACTTTCGGAACGACCTAATATTGAAGGTTGGTCTATCACTTGGCCTGTGTATCATCAATTTTCCAAGAGTAAAGCTGGAACTCTTTCTGCGCACAAAATAATCATTTTTGAGACATTTTCGGAGAAAGCTTGGATGAATGGAAAAGAATGGATATAAAGAGATGCGCTGCTAACAAAGAGAAAAAAGCTCTTCCCGGCAAGACTGTAAATAAAGTTGCGGAGAAGAATGCAAAAACACGAAGAAGAGTCAACAAAAATAGAATATTTCGCCAAGCACAATCGCCCTCACGAACAACTAACTGGTAACTCGCAGGTGTTCGACTAGGTAGCGTGGGTATGGCGCAATGATCGCCATCCGGGTCAGTCGGATCATCGTCATCTCCAACAGCCACCAACACCATGCATAAACTAGCGCTCGTTCTGCTAGGTCTAGACGTCGCTACATTTATGCCCTGTGCACATTTTTTGGCTTATTACTCCTCTTCATACATATATTGTGACAAAATGACAATGCAGACCAAAGTGGCTTCAAATACTTATTTTATAAAAGTGGCATTACTGAAGTCATCCCCATTCTGAATGAAGGCTTCGATTTCAACTTTCCACCTATCCTAAACTTATAGCCAAAATTTTAGAACATCACAAAATTCTCCAAAGGGAGTACTTTGTAGACCGCATTGCTGTGAGCAGATTTGTTAAAAATGTAACCATTCGGGCTCCGAACGTATTTTATTGGTAAAAGAAGAATTCAGGTGTCCAATTGCCAGTGTAATCGAATACTCATTTTTTATTTCAACCACTTTCATCTATTTCTCTTTTTCTTCTCTGGATAATGATCTCTTTGCAGAATATGCAAGAGTTATATACTTGAATACTTACAGATTGTATTGCCTTCCAAAAAAAAATTGAAAATCATGTTTATGTTCAAAATTTCTGTTAATGCTGCCTGTAAAACGAAAATCAATTCAGATTTACAAAAACGTTGAATCATTGCCCAGTTGAATTTATGGTAACATTTTGTGATAAATAACTCTTATTTCATTAAATTCATATTCTAAAACCAAAACTTTATAGATTATTACAGCTGTTGTGGAAGAAACTGTAATAGGTTTTTCATCTTTGTTGAATTTCCATGAAACGTGAATTAATGGACGATTTTTCTATTACCCAAAGCAAGACTATTATGAATAGTATGGTAAGGAACAAATTCAAATCCTAACAAATTTATGATTCAATCAAGTGGGCAGTGTTCTTAATCATAAAAATAATCATCCAGGTGATTTCAGAAAAAATTACAAATTGCAAATTGCAAAATCCCCGAATCAGTCATGTTCAGAAAATTTGAAATTGGGCAAAAAAAGGAAATTATAATTTTTTATGTTTAGGAATTTAGCTGATTTATTTCGGTACTTCTCCCTCAATTCATTGACAGTTCTTTTGATATAATTATAACGAGGAACTCTGTCGCTATTGTTAATTCCTTAACATGTTTGTTTACTGTTCTCGTCACTCTCATAAATTTTTGTGAGCCCTCCAGACAACAATGGCATTATGGAACAAGGCTCTCATCAATTTGTTCTTTGTTTGCGTCTCAGCTCACTCTTGTAACAAAGTAAATAACATGTGCACAAACACTTGCAAAGGAGTGGTGATCAAAAACAAAACATCAAAAATCCAGATTTCAAAATGATAAAAACGCGTACAATTCTGACTATGACAGAAAAGTTGTTGAAAGGACCAAACATACTATAAAAGCAGCTCGGCTAGTAAGACGTTTTGGGAAAGACCTAGCATACTCAGCCTGAGCAATCGAATCTCCTTGAAAAGCCAAAAAGCTCTCATTTTCTCCCATTTGCCTTATTGATTTTGGCCATGTGGGGCATTAGTGGTAAAGATGGACAAGCAATAAACAGACTTTCTCTACCCGAGCAAACCAATTATGTAGAAAAACGCGAGAAAGGCTGCAGTAATTGCCAACACCTCGACTAATCTCTTACCTAGTGAGCAATTACCAAGTATTGAGAACATGCATTAGCACCAAAATATCACCTTAAGCTAGCCAATTTTCAGTATAGGCGATTCTCCACTCTATTCTCGACATCTGTAAGTACTAATCAACTTCAGGTTCTTAGAAAGATACACGCGATAAATTCATATACCTAAAGCCGTGTTGCAAAAGGAAGAAAACATAAAATCAGTAGATTTCGAAGTATGCCGAACAATGCAACATATTCCACCGCTTCTACAAATTTTCAATGCAGTTCTAATCTTTGTTGCATCTTGTCTTATTATTAACTCAAAAAAATCGAGCAAAGCTATCATGTCTTGATACATAAATTTGAGCAGATTTTTGTGAAGCAAGATCAGAAGATTTTGTAAGATGGAGCTAAGATCGTAAGCGTCTAAAATTGGAGAAAATGTTGACTACTGAATTTGCCTTAGTCATAAAAATTTATAAACTAGAAGTTTTGAAATCTGCCAAATCCTACTACAAGATAGGATAGTGTGAATGGGCAAAATAAAACTTAAATCAAATAACTCACTGGTGGCAACAAATTTTGCAAAAAAGATAAAATTTCAGATCACATAGAAAAAGGTAACAAGAAGCTGTAGCATAGCATACACAGCTGCAAAATTCCGTGCAGATTTCATTCCCTGCCCAAGGGCGTCTTCATTATGATCTAATTACGGCAAACCTAGCTTATCAAAAACTGGGCTGTGGAGCAAGTGTAGGTACAAAGATCTTGCTCTCGGAACTCATCAACAAGTCAGCTGTTAGCAGATGCAGCTCTGCAAAAATCAAAGCACACTGGTGTTTGAGCGAAGCCATAAAATCAAGCGTTGTGCTGCACAAACTACAAACTACAGAAAAATGCTTATTGTTAGTTAAAGAAACCTTTCCAGGGCTTAGAGTTACTACAAAAACAATCTTAAGGACCTAGCAGAGTATTCAAACCAGACACTGCATCATGAATACGAAAATATAATAATTTTGTAATGTCATATGATGCGAAAAGTTGAATCAGACATACAAAGTATGTGGCACAATTATAACACACTAGAGAAGGATAATTAGAAAAAACGGTCAGACAAAATTAAAATGTCTGGAATTCCAAAATTCAAAGAGCAATAATCAAATTTGTTCTTCAAAGTTTTACTTTCACATTTTAGTTTATGTGGCTAACGTTTTGAGGGCATTATTTCGCAAGTGAACTCGCTGGCCTGAAATCGATATGAAATCTGGCAATTGGCAGACACATTTGTACTTATTCATCCATAACGTCCGAACCAACTATGCTGCCATTTTTGCCAGAAACTGGGCACTGATCGAGTCTCTAGTTTTGCAAGACAAAAAAAACTTTCCCGACACAAAAGTGAAGGTCAAATCTTGCTAGAAGCTCATTTAGAGAGTATCCAAACCTAATTCTTTCAAAATAAAGATTTCTGTTGAAAATGCAAATTTTGATTTTTTTATAGAATCACGCTCATACATAGCTTCTCATTCGCAACCTGTTTTTGATGTAGAGAACACTTCACTAAGGAAGATTGATCACTAGTTTTGGAAAGACCAGAAAACGACTCAACTGCAAACGATTTTCACCTCGAAAAATTCTGATTTGTAACCTGTGCCCCAAACAGTGCAAAAAATTCTTCACTACACAGACACTGATATGACTTTAAATGCACACAAAAATGCGAATCCAAGAAAAGTAGCAACTATTATTCTTTAAAAAAAGTTCTATTTCCTGCTTTTCTCGCAAAATCCAGGCTTTACGCTCGGCAAGCCTAAATGATGCTTTGGGAGTTAAGTTTTTGGTTAAGCTTTTTTAAAAACAAAAAAGATAGCTTTCCCCGTAAATCATTTCCTTGTTCGCTCATTTATGGAACATCAAAAAATTGAAGTTTTTAAAGGCTTATGAGATACGAACTTTCCTTGCAAACATAAAAGCTATAGCCAAAGAACTAAAAAAAGTTTGTTTTAGGTCGAAATACGAGAGAACATTTGTTCCCAACTGAGAGTAAATTTTGGTGGTTTCTAGGCTATCTTTACAAACCTAATCAATTTTTCGTACTTGTAACAGCTAAAGCAAGCCTGTCGAGTCGATTATGGAAAAGAAATATGCCTAAAAGCATGTTTGTGCGCAAAGTTCAAGCATTTCAATCACAGCTTGCCTCAACAAAAACTTGACTTTGTAGTCATTTCGGGTGTCCAATAGATAAGGGCAAGATAGAAAAGGACGCCAGCCAGTTTCGAAGCTAACTTGGCTAGCTGCCTCGGAAAAGCAAAAGAAGAAACAGATGAGGACAACATAAAAACAGCGAAACGTTTAAGGAAACACGCAGACATTATGCCTAGCGAAAATGACACAAGCCTAGAGCGGCACATCGATTCGCTTTAACGAATGGCGAAATTCATTCAGGCATTGTAAAAAAAATTAATCTCTACCTATATATCCGGTAGCGAAATAGAAATTATGTGAAGAGCGGAGAGAATTCGAATCCTTCTAACCATATGTTGAAGAAAAGCAATCAAAGACTCAAAACAACCATCAATTTATGGATGTTTGACTTATTTTTTGAATTTACCACCTTTTCAAAAATTTCTTGACGTAATATCGCTGAAAAGAAATAATAGGCCCATTTTTCAAGTTTGTTTATGCTGATTCTTTTCTATAACAATAATTTTTGCGGTTTAATTCCACCTTTTGTGCAAATGCACAAGTGGCAACCGAAACATTCACACATCTCCTGTCCATTGCCTTTTTCCGCGACTCAGCGGCGCCAATTCGTCTCGCGCGTCTCGCGACCGCTGTCGCAACTGCGCATTTCCTTCCAGCAGAAATTACGAATTATAAAATCGCCTATCAAAGCTACAAACCCTTTTTTCTTAGTTGCCAAGATGAAGAGAGAACTCTCACTTGAAAAAACAGATTTTCAAATTTTTTTATATTTTCGGACACAATCAAGATTTCACTTAAGAAACGTGAGGATGTGCTTAGCCATTGCGATATACCTATACAAAGAATAACTTTTAGTTCACTTGCAAAATTGAATTGAAAGTTGCTTTTTGTATAGGAACTTCAATATTATCACTTCTCATTACCCGATGATAATGGGTACAATAAAAAATGAATGGTTTGTGTCATTATCTTTCCATAAAAGAGTCTAGCAAAGGTTTGCTTACCATTCATTGAAGCGAATTTACTCCAGCAAGGATATGACTGAATATGAGCGGTTATGTTTCTAATAAGCTGCTTAGCTTCAAGCACGTACTCAGAAGGAAGAAAGAAAGAATGAGGTTCAATGTATGATAAAAATATCGGTAATAGCTAGAGGTTGACTACTAGAAAATAAACCAATATCCATAATTGCAAACAACCTACAATTCGAAGACTGAAGGTTGCACTTCCCTCAAATGATGGCAAAGTTTATTTTGTATGAAAGGAGTGAACATTAAAGCAGCATGTGAAACATCCACCGAGTTGGGCTGGTTTGCATTAGCTTCGGGTAAAAACTAAAGCTGTTCGCTGTGAGGCCGGCTTGGGGACTTTGGAAGACAGGAAGTTGTCTTTAGACCTCATAACGACATTATAAAAAAGTTCTTCTTAGATGGAATTTTCCTTCAGATGATTTATTTAAGCCCTAGACCTCGTAAGGTCTAAAGGAAGGCATATTCAGGGTTACCGATCGACGGCTAGTGTAGAGTCAGTACAAAATTGCACACACGTTGCAATGCCTTCAGCCAATGATTGAATTCCCATATTTTTTCTTTCCATTGTCTAAAATCAAGCCCCTGAGAAAAAACCAACTTAATTACGCGAACAAATGAGTACATTTTTCTAGTAAAATCTTACACATAAATCACTGACTTGCAAGACAATTAAATACCAGGGAAAAGAAAGTGCTTTCAAGTTATATCCAACCCTACCCTCATTAGGAACCTACGCTAAAATTGCAAAAACCTTTGAGAATATAGTAAGTTCATTTGTAGTTGATGCACAAACGGCATCTTCCAGTTCACCTTCCGCAATTCTTATCAGATGCTCTAGACAATTATAAACTACACACTTACTCTAAAGTACCTACCGAATTTTTCTCCGGCCATAGTTTCTTTTTTGAAAGGAGGGGGTAAAGGTTAAAATATTCTTTACGCTATTTTTTGACACCCCCCCCCCCCCATATACCTTTCGCTCATGACTTAATACACATGGGTGATGCAATTTTAGCCATTCCCGTTTGGTAGACAGCACCATAATTTAGTTAAGAGTTTTTAATCGCTAATGAATGACTTCTGTGCGCAAGAAAACTATTTCACGCATACAAATCAATTTTAGTTATCACCGTGTAGGTGATAAACATTACCAGTTTCATGGTCAAGTTAGTCACAAGCATTTCAAGGTCGTAGACATTTTGTTCATTAGCAGATTTTAGGTAAACTGAAAACCTCCAGACAGATTATCTCGAAAGGTATGATGGTAAGATAAAGTGGCTGTAGTAACAATCTGTGGTATGACAGAAAATAATCATTGCTGAGAAGGTAAAACTCTGCCTTAAAAAAAGAAAGGGTCACTTAAGCTGCTAATTTAGTGAAGATCTTTAACCTTATAATTTTCCTTTACCCCCAACTGTAGCATGTTATGCTGGGTAAGAAGAATGATATAAATAGAAAAATTCTCTACAATTTGCGTGCAGTTACATACATTCGATAAAAAGTGGACTAGTGGGACAGAGTCACAAACCACATGGCTATACTCTAGTGTTCAGTTGAGACTTACATATATATATAGAAAAATTGGCATCTCGTATTTTTTGGACTATACAAAGTAAATAATGACAATAATGCTCGGGCTTTTATCTCATTTAATTAAGGTTGTTTCCCACACAAGAAAATTTTATGAATTTTGCTAAAATTCTCAACAAATAATATGAAGATGCTGAATATTTAAATAATGACAGAACAAGATCTAGAAATCGTTGATAAAGGTATTACACAATTTTTAAGTAGATTTGGAAGTTATGTAAAAAGTGTTGATTGCCACGCTGAAAACACAAAAATCGCTCTTCAAAATTGTTACAGTGCATTTTGCGACTATCAATCTCACATCATTCATATTAGTATATGGAGATAGATTTACATTGAAAAAACAGTCTTGGAAACAAGTTTGCAGCCAATTTTCTTCGGAAAAAAAACTCAAACCAAACACTCACCAATTTTTCCCATTGTCCCATTGTGGTTCAGTTCGGCGGCCCGGCTTTGTCCTTTCTCTAAATCAGATGAATAACTGTCTGCAGGTTGTACGGCACACGAAGAATGACGACGTTGTAAGAATAGGGGGCAAGAACGGCGGAATGTGGCGTAGACGACCGCCTTGACGAGCAACCAACAATGAACTGCGGCCTCGTTCGTGGCAGTCATCACTGTTAACAACAACTGTGATAAGGGAACATCGGTGATGACGAACGAGGAATGGGTGGTGGAGGAAAGAGCTGTGAATAAGGAGTGTAGGAAAGAAATGGATGAGGCAATAAAGCACTAGGTACACTATTCTTGCACCAAAAATATCAGGTCGTAACATAAGTTTTGTCGCATTTGGAAAAAACCTTTGTAACTTTTTCAAAAACCTTTTTCTCATCTCCAAATTGAGTGGACATTCGTAACTTTTCAATATGTACATGCCACTCATGAATATGCAATTTTTGAATTTTTTGGAATTTTTTTGAACTATTTTTGGCAAAATTCCAGCTTGTCTGATAAGAGCCCACACTTCCAAACTGCCTTCATATTGCTACCAATGTTCCAGAAATCTTCAAAAAATGTGAGGGTATAAACATTAAGGACGATAGAATTTTCGGAGGAAAAAGAAAAAAATGGAGATTGTCAAGATAGCCTAGTGGCACATATGAGCAATAATCCTTTGTCTATTGCTCATATGTGTCAAACATTAGACTATGCTAAAGTTTCCTGATTTTTTTAGAAGAAAACAAAAGTGTTACAAAACTTATGTTACAACCTAAGGAAAGAATTCGTTTTGACTTACGCAAAACGCCCCCTGCATATATAGGTAGTATTTTGTAATAGATACTAGAAATCTTGAAAGGAAAATCGACAAGTCGAGTCAAAAAGACGAAATTTATACCTTTGCGTGGAGATATCCGACATTTCCACCTTTTAGCAAAAAGAATAGGTCACAGAAACAAGACCAGTACAGAATCAGAAATCAGAAAGTGGTTAGAGATTCTTTTCAAGTATACGCGTAAAGAACGAGGTTTTCTGTCTTTGTTATTTATCAATGTAGAAGATTTCATAAAAGAAAGCTAGGGAAAACAACGGTATTTTGAAAATTTTGGCGAGAGAATTATGCATCAACTACACACATTGTTGAATGAAAAGTAAGTTAAAATAAATAGCTAAATGCATGCGATTGGAATCAATTGATGCAACAAAATCAGATAATAAAAACCTTCACCACTGACAATCCCAGATAATTTTTTGCAAGAAGGGTAGGGTAGGAGATTTTTCCAAAAAAGGATTATAGCCTTACAGCATTTTTGGAAATACAGATTTTTCGCAAACATGCACCTACTAAAAAAATTTCCACTAACCCACATTGAGTTATTACGAAAGCTTATAGAAGTGTCTATCATTTATGAATGAAAAAGTGAGATTGCAAGCGATCCAAATTGCTGGGATAAATCTGAAATCAAAAATGTTTTTTTAGAGAAGGCCTTACAATAATTGTTTTGGAAAGCCACAGATTTTTTAGACATGCAACTCACCTCAAGAATTATCCAGAAATCTACTTTGTTTTTATGAAAACTTGTTAACATTTTAAAGTGATAACATGTGATAAGCTGATCAATCTTGTATTTTTGAAAAATATTCAAAAAAGCATTGCGTGGATAGCTCGTGTTCGAAAGTATAGAGCCGTCTAATCAATCATGAACACACAAAAGTTGCTTGCGTATTCCTTCAACTCAGCTAAAACACTTCAAAAATTCGAAACCCATTCCAAGGACGGGAAGGAGAAGGGGAGAGGCTCGTCTGTAGCCACTGCCTGCTGTCAATAGCAATAAAATAAATTCTACAAGGTCACAAACTAGAAGTTACGAAACTACAGAAGATTTGTTCTGCTTGTTTTTTTCTAACCTTTTGTTGTGCTATTTACAACTTGGAAATTTCTCATGCTCTCTAAAACTTACTCATAGATTAGATCTCTTTATTCTTAACAATCTCAGATTGTATTCTTATTAGATTTTATTCTTATTAGATTATATTCTTATCAGATTTCTTAGATTTTTTATTTTATAGATTATATAGGAAAATGTCTTCTTGCTTGCCTAGACAGCACGAAATGCTTCGACAAAGATAACGCAATTGTACAAAGAGATTACTTCCTCTTATCTTTAAGCCTTGTCAGCGAGCACAGGATTGAAACAAAAGCAAGATACGATGAGCAGTCTTGCAGTTTTTGACAAAGGAGTTACGAATTTACATGAGCTGGAGTTTGAAATAAGCTTTCTAAAACATAGTTTTCAAATCGAAGAACATTGCGATAGGCTATTCAAGGTACACAGACAGTTTACCTGAATCGCTCAGATGTTTGTTTATATTCTTGAAAGAACATAGTCTGAGACGAAAAACTTGGTTCGAAAATCTTAAATAGCATGAAATAAACGAAAAAAATAAAAAATGGAACAATCGTTCTATGTCTGACAAGCCTCTTGGGCTACTGTGACCATTCAAAAACGTTGGTAAGAGGTAGACCCCTACTACTCAATATAGAACTAGTTGAAGATAAAATCTGTTGCACTTTTTTGTGTTGAAAAGAGCGGGTAATAACTGGTTTTACCTATAACTAGGTACGAGGCTCCAAAGATGATGTTAGGTTGAAAAGAAAAGAATGTCGCTTTTTTGGATTTTTTCCGCTAAAATTGATATTTTTCAAGAACTAAAGCATATCCAAGGACAAGATTTTATGGTCAAATTCTCGCAGATTTATAGTTGCTTTACTACAAAAAACGACATTCTTCTCTTTTCAACCTAATAGCTTCGTTGTTTTGTTCCATTTTTTATCTTGCCTTTGTTGTTGAAAGTTTCTGCTGAAGGTACGGGGACTGATTTTCCAAAGAATTTTCAGATATGAGAGTGATTTTCAGGGATTAGTTCCTTGTTAAGCATGTGGAATACAGATTCTGTTGCATTCTGAACTAAAATTCACAAAATCAACAAATCGACTGCAATTTATTGATTTAGTCCACTCCAAACTTTGAAAAAACTAATTTTGGCACTAATTCTAACAGCAACGTGAAGAGGGTTCTTTGTTCGAACGCATCAAAAATTATGTAAACAGCTGAGTCAGCTCTGGCTAACGGCCTATACAAACGGGAGCATGACTTTTTTTATTGAGCAAACATGAAAAATGTTTCGAATTACAGCAAAAACCATAAGGCCTAACGACGACGACTCACTTGTTTAAGGCAGAAAATTTTGCAAATTTGCACGAATTTTTGGGTGTTTACAATTACGAGTGAATTCTGAAAGTTTATCATGACAGTTTTACGACTTCTAGAAGGGTCGTTAAGGGCTTTGATGATTGAATTCTGCTACGGGCAAATGTTTATTTCAAGCGTCGATATCGCTCGTTGTATTTTGTTTTTTTTTTCTGGCCAGTAGTGAAATGATTTCAAGCAATTTTTTTGAACTTTTCGACTACATATTTTATTGCAACAAGTCTTGGAACACATAGTGCAAAACAAAATTGAATATATTTGAGCTCCAATGCTGTGTTCAATTTTATTAGATTGGCGACTTTCAGTTTGACAAACCTCGACGAAAACGGCTTTTTTTTCTCCTGGAAATGGGCAATGAATTACGAAGCGACGCATGGAAAAAGTTCCTATTCCAAAATTATCCCTTCTATTTGTTTGAAACTTCTCTAGCCTGAGCTGTTGTTTACCTTAAGAGGCGCAGATGATTTGATGATTTCGTTGCGAAAACAGCTACCATAAATCGAAATGTTTTTTTATCATGTCAGAGCAAAATGCGATTACGCTTCTACATTGAGAGTCGCTTAGTGCAAAATGTGACTTTGAAACGCTGCATCATATCTCCACAAATCAGAGGTGGCAACTCCACGTATGTGTTCGCTTTTCTAGTTTTTCTATAGCGAGGCCCTGTGGCCTAATGGAGAAGGCGTCGGTCTCCGGAGCCGAAGACTGCAGGTCCGAGTCCTGCCAGGGTCGGGTACTTTTGCATTGATTGTTCGAAAGTCTTGAGACTTAGTGCTTCGTGCTCCCAGGCGTCCTACGGTGAATTACCGCAAAATAGTCGGAAAATACAGTGCTCCATTTTTGATGAAGGCGAGGTGTATTGCTAGTGCAAATGTCTATTATTTCCGAAATTTTGCTAAATTTTTTTCTAAGATAAAAAAACGCCAAAAAATAAACAGCTAGCGTTTCGTATTTGAATTTTTGTTATGACGCTATTATATAAAAGAAATGCTTGAGCTCATCAGAATGGCTCCAGTTATGAAAGAAATGCTCAAGTATATAGGATGTTGTCCGTATTCCGTACGCGTCCGTGATTACACGAAACACCACTATATATGAACTCGTGCGCCAAAATTTGCGGCAAAGAATCTGCTTCTTGATAAGCTTACGGACCGTAAGTTACGGTCCTGTTGAAAATGCAGCGATGCCGTCCTGATACTTCTTATCCTGATAGAGAAAGCGCGGAAATTGAAGCGAATTTGTGCAGCACACTCTTTCCTAAAATTTTTGCGTTTTGCGCGTTCGTAAGATCCTTGAAATAATGGAAATTCTCAGACATTCGCAGTTAAGTCCCGCCGGAGATCCGCCCACAAAATGAGATTTCGCGAGAAAACCGGGAGTCTTGCGCGACTCCCGGTTTTGTCCCGAATTTCGGGACAATCCCGACACAAAAAATGAAGCGGGAGAAAACCGGGAGTCGCGATCTCGCCATCCAGCTAACATGGTAACATGTTGGCAACGTGGTTGTAACATGTTTGCAACATGCCACAACATGTTGACAGAACATCTTAGCCGCGCCAACATGTTGTGACATGTTGCACCGCAGTAGCACCGCTTCCGCAGCAGTTTTCATTTACGCTCTTGCCGTCGTCGGAGGCAGTGTGTTCGAAGGCTGGTTTCGTTTCTTGGTGTGCATGTTCATCGGATTTAACTCGGAGATACCTGCAAGAAATGATTTTGGGAGTCAGTATTTTTCTCTTTTTATAGAGTTTTTATAGGCACACTTGATTGACTCGCACGCAAAGTTCATCGCCAAAGCATTTCTTTACCCGAATCTGTCATGTTCGATTCATTATTGGTTAATGGCATGTGTCGAACATGGAACGCCTTCAAATGATCCGATGATCAGTCAAATC